AGACCGGCCGCAAGCTGCTGTGCAGCTGAGGCTGACCCGAGCTACTGTTTTATTTGTGTGTGTGTGTGCAAGTGCTTTTGTTCACTGAGCCATTTCACCAGTCTGACCCGACCTCTGCCCCTGCCTCCCAAGTGCAGGGTTAACGAGGGTCTGCCATGCCTGTCTTCGCAGCCTCAGGCCAAACACCAGGTGTTGTGCATGTTAGGCAGCCTCTGTCAGCCTCTGTCAGCTACGTCTCCACACTCAACTTACCCTTTCAATACGCCAGCTTCTAGACCTTTATATTTGACTGACGATGCGCCAGGTTTGCAAAGCATGGTGGCAGATGCCTTTAATCCCAGCAGAGGCTGGTGGGTCTCTGTGAGTTTGAGGTCCGCCTGGTCTCCGTAGTGAGTTTCAGGACAGCCAGGGAGGGCTAGGTAGAGAGAGATGTCTCAACCCCCACCCCCACCCCCCCAAAAAAAACCAAACCATGATGTCCCCGATTGACCTCAGTGTACATAGCACTGTAAGCTAAAGACAGAAGGCTGAAGTCCGCACTACCCACATTGACGTCATTCTTCAGATAGCATCACTAACGGGCTAAGCAGCTTGATTATGTAAAGTGCTCCTTACACATTGGCAGAAACCACTGAGTCTTCCAGAATGGGTTTCATAATTTGTAATCAGCTTCCCCTTGTGAAGAGAGCAGACTTTATTAATTGTACATGATAATAGACTTGATTATGACACGCACTTTGAGAGTTTTCACCTGCATCACATCCTCTTGTGTCCCGCTCCCATGATCCTCTTTCTCTTTCCAGCTAGACCTTGTGCTGTGTGAGTGTGTGACAAGAACTGGGTGTGCTGGTTAGACTTCTGTTGCTGTGATGATGGAACCATGACCAAGCAATTTGGGGAGGAAAGGGTTTAGTCAGCGTACACCTCCACATCTCAGTTTATCATCAAAGCAAGCAGGGCAGGAACCTGGAGCAGGAGCTGATGCGGAGGCCATGGAGGGGGCTGCAGACTGGCCTGCTCCGCGCAGCTTGCTCAGCTGCTTTCTTACAGAACCCAGGACACCAGCCCAGGGATGGCTCCATTCCCTCCCCTCTGATAACTCTAGCTTTTGTTAAGTTGACACAAAGCTAGCCAGCACACTGGGTTTTATACTTCCAAATTGGCTCTTTTTGAATGCATTTTGTTTAAGAGTAAGCAGCGGCCTATCGTGTTTCTGGGCGTCTTTCCTCTCTCCATCTCTAGGATTGTAGAACTGAATGTTCTTCAGCTCCAGCAGTAAAGAAATTCAGGAAAGCAAAACCAGATAATTCTACATTGTAAAATCTCTGAGGGGCTGGTAGGGTGGCTCAGGAGGTAAAGGCACTGAGTTTGACCTGAGTTCATCCCTGAGCCACATGATGGACGGAGAAGACAGACCCCAGAAGGCTGTCCTCTGAGCCTCATATGTGCACCGTGAGTGAGTGTGTGTCTTTTCATGTAACCTCCTGTGAATGGAGGCATATCTGGGGTAGCCGCGCTGCTGCGAACTTAGGCCTTTAACGTCAGGTTTGTGCTTGGTCATGGAGGCTGGGTGGGAGGCTGCCGGCCACTGGGGCCCTACATCAGCCTCCCTAGGTAGGCACTGAGACTTGAGGAGTCCCAGCTCATGCTAATGAGGGCTGAGCTGTTGCTGTGTCAAAATCCAGTTGACCTTCATTCCTGGTCACTCATCTTCCAGAGATGCCAGCAGAGGTGTTTGAGGGCAGCACTGCAGAGCCGCCCGGCACCCAGCGCTGCTGCCCAATTTTTGTTTTCTATGGAGTTTGTGGCAGCTGGTCTTGAACTGTGACAGAGTTCTTTTCTAGACATAGTCTCTGTGGTTTGAAATGGTTTCCAGGAACGATAGTATTTCCACTTGTCTGGCACACCTATGAAGAGTGGATCCCCTGCCTTTTGCACTCCTGTTTTTCATATAGCCCAGACTGGCTTTGAGTTCATGATCCTTCTCCTTGGCCTCCCTTGTGCTGGAATTACAGATGTGTGTCATCACACTGGGCTTTCTCCACTCTTTTTTTTTTAAGACAAGCATTGTTAAATGTTTAAATTTTTTGAGTGTGTTGCCCATGGAGGGCGGAAGGGAGTCGGATCTGCAGACCTGGAGTTACAAGCGGTTGTGAGCCATGCCATGTGGGTACCAAGCAGCCAGTATGGTAACTGCTGAGTTTTCTCTTCCCCTCACTTTTCTACTCTGAACTGCTCCCATTGGGACAGGGTACACACAGTTGCAGACCCGAGGAAGTGGAGAGCACCTTCCGCGTCCGTTCTTTTCAGTAGGTTTCTTAGCTGCCAACAACTTTGATGAAACTGGTTCAGAGTCTGGGTGTAGTGACACAGGGTTCTGGTCCCAGTGCGTGAGGGCCAGAGGGTCTAGTTTAGGGCCAACCTGGGCTACTTAGGAGAGTCTCAGCTTCCCGACAGTGGGGACTGCACAGGCACCACCAAAGCCAACATGTATGAATCTGGCGCTTTTCTCTTGTTTTTTTTCCCTTGCAGGATATTTGATCCCATTGTAAACACCGAGATTGTGGGTGCCTGTTTCTAGTTGTGGAGTGGCTCGGCCCTAGCACACACCTTAAAGAAGATTTTTTTAAATTAGCTAACAGGTGAACCCTTTTTCTAAAGTGCATCAGCTTCCATTTCCACTGGCCAGCTGAGTCACAGCTGCTTCATCCTCTTGTGAGCTTTTGAGTTGTCAGTTATTTTAATCTTAGTGTTCTGGTGTGGGTGTGTACCTGTTCCTCAAAGGAAATCAAAATATTTTATTTTGAGAGTTTTATGGCATGTCTTTTTGGAAATGCACTTACTTTGGTACATTTTAAGAGCATTTCAAAAGTACAGTGAATGTCCATCAAGATTCACAGTGATGACCACAGTATCCATGGTTAAAGTTCGTGAGAGAGTTTGCTAATTGTTTACATCTGTTTTATCATTATATGGTTTCCAAAATATTTCTGATGTATTTGTTCTTGTTTGGTTTTGAGATAGTATCTTCTTACAGTATAGGCCAAGCTAGCCTTGAACTCAGCTTCCTAATAGCTGAGACTATAGCATAAGCAGACTTTCTTTCTTTTTTGTTTTAATTTTTTTTTTTTAATGTGCATTGGTTTCTACCTGCATGTATGTCTGTGTGAGGATGTTGGATCCCCTGGAACTGGAGTTACAGACAGGTATGAGTTGCCATGCGGGTCCCCTGGTCCTCTGGAAGAGCAGCCAGTGCTCTTAACCTCTGAACCATCTCTCCAGCTCCTAAATGTTTTCTTCTTCTTCTTCTTCTTCTTCTTCTTCTTCTTCTTCTTCTTCTTCTTCTTCTTCTTCTTCTTCTTCTTCTTCTTCTTCTTCTTCTCCTTCTTCTCCTCCTCCTCCTCCTCCTCCTCCTCCTCCTCCTCCTCTTCCCCTCCTCCTCCTCCTCCTCCCCCTCCTCCTCCTTCCCCTCCTCCCCCTTCTCCTCCTCCCCCTCCTCCTCCTGCTCCTCCTCCTCCTCCTCCTCCTCTTGTCCTTTTGGTATTCAAGACAGGATCTCTCTGTAGCCCTGGCTGTCTTGGAACTCATTCTGTAGACCAGGCTGACCTCAAACTCACAAATATCTTCTGCCTCTGCCATCTAAGTGCTGGGATTACAGGGCTGTGCCACCGCTGCCCGGCACAAGCAGGCTTTCTTGTGAACTTCAAGGAGTTACCGAAGTTGTAGCTGGGTGTGATGTCCTTGCTGTAAACCTGGCCCTTGAAAGGTAAGGGTAATGGCATCAGGAATTCAGGAATTCAGGAATTGATGGTGTAGAGTTCAAGGCCAGTCTGGGTTATGAGACTGTTGTTTTCTTAAAATAAAAACCTGGGAGCTGGAGAGACGGCTCAGTAGGTAAGAGTCTGCCGAAGGAACAGAGTTTGCTACCCAGCACACACATGGCTGCTCATACCCACCTGTCACTCCAGTTCCAGGGATCTACACCCTCTTCTGACCTGCACAGACACCAAGCACGCAAGTGATGCGCAGGCACGCAGGTAGTCAAAACACCCCACCCATAAGGTTAGAGCAGACAGAGAAGCAGGAGCAAGCTGCGTAAGTCCGTACAGAACAGCAGCTCGTGTGCGGATTAAAATTGCTACAGTTGCTTTCTGAGACCTCATGCGTCCTTGAGTGCTGCTTTTTGTGCTGCTTTAAGAAAATACAAGTGCTGGCGACTGAATAAAGGTGGTTAATTTATCGCGCTGTTTGGGGTCAACCAGCAGGGTATTCACAGCTGCTCAGCCGTGTTTAGGGCTACTTGGTGGGTAATGTCATGTGGTATAAATGTGTGAGCTTGATGAAAACTGCGTCTTTGTTCCTTTGGTTTTTAAGAGCTGGGAATCTTGATGTTTCCTAGGCTGGCCATGAACTTCATGGGCTCAGGTGATCTTCCTGCCTGGGCCTCCTCAAGGCTTATAGGTTGTGTGGCTGCGTCTGGTGAGCAAAACGCACTTAAAGAAGAGAGGGCCCCTTGTAGAAAAGAGAAAGGAAGAAAGAAAAAGAAAAATGTGTGCTGTCAGGAACTCCGCGGGACTTTGCTGCTTTCTGAGAGTGAACCCCTTAACCTTCTATCCAACTCATTTTTCAGAAATTCTGCTGTCTTGATTTTCGCCGCTAAGGACCAAATATGCAGCTTTTGGGACGATTCCCCATTATCAAATCGCTTCCCTCACTGCCCTAGATTTACATTTTGGAACTCTGGATATTATTTGCGGTCTGTGGCTGCGAGTGCTGCCACACAGCCTTAACCACAGACGTGATTTTAACCGCGTATTTGTCACTACAGTCTTTGTAAGGGGAGGTCCAGGTAACCTGTACTGGTGGCTTAGATGACGAGTCATGGGGTGAATGGTGTTCCTGGCTTTCCAAGGACTTCTGCACTTGATTTTGTTAAATTAGTGAATCTACTCTTGCACCTTCGTCATCAGATAGTGACAGAAGTCATTGTTTTGTTTTAGTGATGTCCTTGCGTTGCCCATTTTTAAGCAAGAAGAGACAAGTTTGCCTCCTGAGAATGAGAACGAAATCCTGCCTTTTCAGTACGTTCTGTGCGCTGCCACCTCTCCAGCGGTGAAACTGCATGAGGAAACCCTGACGTACCTCAACCAAGGTCAGACCTCGCTGCCCTGCTGGGTCATGGGAGTCTAGTGGTGGATCTCTGGCGCTGCCTGGGAGACTTGACTCCTTTGTGGCCCGCCCATGTCCAGCTCTCTTCCTTGCTTTTCTCCGCTGTCTGTACCTGCCTCTCTGCTGTTCCCCAGCTACAGAGCAGGGACAGGCTATTTGACTTCTTGTTTCAGTTTCTTTATCTGTAAAAATGGGATTGACAGTAACTTAGAAAGTGGAGTCTGTTACATGGAACAGGATATGAAAGTGCTTAGCACAGTGCACGGCTTTAGTTGGTAACAAGTGTTATCTTGTGTGTTTAGCGACTGTATTCTTTCTGTCTGAGTCCAGACAAGTGGATTGTGATAGGTGTAATTTGTAACTACTTTTTCTTCTAGGACAGTCTTATGAAATCAGAATGCTAGACAATAGAAAACTTGGAGAACTTCCAGAAATCAATGGCAAGTTGGTGAAGGTAAAACAAACTCGTTTGTAGCTCTTTTTTTTTTTTTTTTTTTTTACTTGTTTGTTTTGTTTCACAAGTCTTATTATATATCCTAGGCTGGCCTCGAACTCTTGAGTCCTGTCTCAGTTTACTAGAGTAAATGCTGGGATTTCAGGAACGCACCATCATGCATGGCTATGGTTTCTTTTTTCTGTTTCATGTTGTTTTGCATCCTTACAGGCAGGGATTGATGATATCGTTTGTCTGCCACAAATGGCTGGCTAAGAGTTTAAAAAAGAAAGAAGGAAGGAAGGAAGGAGAGAGAGAGAGAAAGAAAGAGAGAAAGAAAATGATCTTTGGGGTCAGAGTAAGCCCTGCTGTCTCATGGATGTTTCGGTTGATTATGTGGCTGTGCCCGAGGGCCCAGGGATGGAGTGTGGCGGGCAGAGTCTGTCCTTTCTTTTAAGGCTGCCGGTCTTGGGGATCAGCGTCTTTACCTGCCGAGCCGTCTGCTCCCTCTCAGGGTCTGGGGAGCAGAAAGCCGTGCAAGCTCCCGTTAGGCAGCTTCCTGGGGAGGCCGGCTTTGGTGGCAGAGAATCGGCAGCTTGGGGATTTTAATTTTAATGATTATTACGAGTGAGTGTGCGGTGTGTGGTTTGTGTGTGTATGTGTGTAAGTGTGCTGGAGTGTGGGGTGTGTACGCAAGTGCACTTCAGTGTGTGGTGTGTGGGAGTGCACTGGTGTGCGCATGTGTGAGGACAGTGGCATGCGTGCGTGTGTGTGCAAGTGTGTCTGTGTGTGTAGTGTGTGAGTGTGCGTGTGTGTGTGCAAGTGTGTCTGTGTGTGTAGTGTGTGTGTGTGCAAGTGTGTCTGTGTGTGTAGTGTGTGAGTGTGCATGTGTGTGTGCGCAAGTGTGTCTGTGTGTGTAGTGTGAGTGTGCGTGTGTGTGCAAGTGTGTCTGTGTGTAGTGAGTGTGCGTGTGTGTGTGTGTCTGTGTGTGTAGTGTGTGAGTGTGCGTGTGTGTGCAAGTGTGTCTGTGTGTGTAGTGTGTGAGTGTGCGTGTGTGTGCAAGTGTGTCTGTGTGTGTAGTGTGAGTGTGCGTGTGTGTGTGTGCAAGTGTGTCTGTGTGTGTAGTGAGTGTGCGTGTGTGTGTGTAAGTGTGTCTGCGTGTGTGCAAGTGTGTCTGTGTGTGTAGTGTGAGTGTGCGTGTGTGTGTGTGAGTGTGTCTGTGTGTAGTGTGTGAGTCGAAACCAGAGCCTCTGCACGCTGGGCAGGCGCTGTGCCTCTGAGCCACCCCAGCTCCCCTTGGAGTTAGCTCTCGGGTCCTTTGGGCCCGGGCTTGGAGGCGAGCAGACAGCGCTGCCGATGCCTCTCCTTTTGTCCCCCTGCAGCTGAGTGTAAGATGAGGCAGCAGCTTTCCTGGGGTCCCCTGGGAGGACGGGTCAGGGGTCTCACTTTGACTTGTCTGCTCAGACCCGCGTGGTCTGACTGACAGGCGCTGTCAGCGCCCCAGCAGGACGGAAGGGACACTGCCGCCGAAGTGCCCGCAGCAGCTAGGACTGCCCACCCAGGGAAGGAGGCCATGCGAGACGAGTGTAGAACAAAGCCGGAGCCGCAGCCCCGCTGTGGTGGATGGAGGGGCTGTCGGCTGTAAGACAGCCAGGGGCAGGCTTTATCGGCAACGGGAGGGGCCTCGTGCCCCAGTGTTTGTGGGTGGTGTGTAGCCTTAGGCAAGCAGCACAGGCTCGTGCACAGGTGATGGGTGCGCTGGGTGGCTGGGTGTGAGAGGGATGCATAGGTGTGCTGCACAGGGCTGCACAAGGCTCAGCAGGCAAAGGCTGTTGCAAAGGTGGGGTTCGAGCTCCGTCCTTGAGAGAATTTCTGGCTGTGCACTCTCCAACAGAGAAAGAAGGACGCATAATAAGAATTAAAAAAAAAAAAATTAAAAACAAGCAAATGCTGGGTGGTGGTGGCGCTCGCCTTTAATCCCAGCATTTGGGAGGCAGAGGCAGGTGGGTCTTTGTGAGTTCGAGGCCAGCCTGGTCTACAAAGCAAGTCCAGGACAGCCAGGGCTGTACAGAGAAACCCTGTCTTCGGGGAAAAACAAAAACAAAAAAACGCAAACCACACACAGAAAATGCTAGATTGTGGTAGAAGCCAGCCAGCGTTAACTCTGCTAGTTTTGTTCTGTGAGCGGGGTTTGTGCACGCATGTGGACTGACACTGTCCTTCCCGTAGAGCATATTCCGTGTCGTGTTCCACGACAGGAGGCTGCAGTACACTGAGCACCAGCAGCTAGAGGGCTGGAGGTGGAACCGCCCAGGAGACAGGATTCTCGACATTGGTGAGTCAGGAGGGGCTATTGCTGGGGAAGCATCCTTGACTGTGTCCTCAGAGGCTGAGACCTTAAAGTGGCTTATCGCAGAGCATAAGAAAGGAACTTGTAAGATGACATCAGGATTGAAGTAGGACATTATCCTTAAACTCCAAAGCAGTTAATAAAAAAACTTTTGTTTTGAACTGTGGTAATACAAAATATGTTTGTATATAATAGAAAACTTTGTTTTTTTCCATTTCAAATGGGCAGCTGAATAATAAGTGTTTATTTGTGTAATAGGAGCTTTTCATTCCCCTTTTCCAGCCCCCATTAATATTGTCCTGCCCTGTCATTGTCCACTCTAGGAACCTCATGCAGGTTTGACGTTTGAGACTGGCTTCTTGAGTTTCACGGTTCATCCGTGTTGTAGCCTTTGCCAGCACTTCTGTCCTTTAAAGCAGCGGAGCGCCCAGACCATACTGCCTGCTGTCCACCCCTCACCTGCCGAGGCACAGGGCGGCTCTTACTGTGAACACGGATACCATAGTACTCGTCTGAGTCTCTGCTTTGGTTCCATGTTTGTCTGAAGCAGGATCTCCGTGTTTAGCCCGGGCTAGCTCCTGACTGTCTCCTCAAGTGCAGACTGCTGACATGAGCCACCAGGCTCTACTGCGAAGTGGGAGTGCTGAGCCATATGGTAGTTCTATTTTTAGTCTTTCTGAGAAATACCTGCAGTGCTTTTCCCAGTAGCATTCAAGTTCTCTCCTCATCTGACAATGTTTGCTCTTTTGTTTTTTGCGGTGCTGGAGATCTAACCCAGGCACTTGCATATTAGACAAGCCCTCGATTTTTTTTAAAGACTTAGTTTACTAGTACTATTATTTTTCAAACAGTTTCACTCTGTAGCCCTGGCAGGCCTGGAACTTTCCTTGTAGACCAGGCTGGCCTTGAACTTAACAGTTACCTTCCTGCCAAGTGCTGGAATTAAAGATGTGTCCCACTGTACCTGGCTGATTTATTATGTTTTTACTTTTTATTGTTGTTTTATGTATTTATTTGTTTTATTCTTCTAAGACAGGGTCTCACTGTGCAGTAGCTTTGGCTGTCCTAGAACCCCTGTGTAGATCAGGCTGGCTTCAAACTGACAGAGCTCTGCCTGCCTCTGCCTCCTCCCGGGCTCTGGGATTAAAGTGTGCACCACCGTACTCAACTTACTGTTTTCTCTTTAAATTTATTTCATTTTTTTTTTGTGTATGGGTCTTTTGTCTGCATATATGTCTATGTAACACATGTCTGGTGCCCAGGAAAGCCAGAAGAGGTTTTGGATCCCCTGGATCTGGAGTTACAGACTGTTGTAAGCTGCCATGTATGTGCTGGGAATGGAATGAAGGTTCTTCTCCTTCCACCTTGTGGCTTGGGGATTGAACTCAGTAGTCAGGCTTGGCAGTAAGTCCCTTTTCTGGCTAAGCCATGTGGCCACATAGGACACATGGTGTTGAATCCAGTCCTTAAGCTTCTGCCTCCTGGGCGCTGGGGTGGTGAGTGTATGCCACCACCCCAGAGAGCTCTAGGGTTTCCGCCTCTTGGTGTGCAATTTAGGTGTCTGTGTACTATTCTGATACACCTAAACATTGCTCTGAGTAACAGGATTTTGGCAAATACAGTGTGCAGTCTCTTTCTGTGTGTGTGCTAATCCTGACCTCTTGTTCTGTAGGTGGCTGCTAGATAAGCATAGCTACCAGATAAGTTCAGCTGTTACTAATTTCGCCGGAGAAAACACTGGTTATCATACAGATAATCTGAGATCTTTAACTATTAGGTGGCACAGGGCCTACTTAATGCCCGAATTATTGCCAAACACGAGTATAGTGACATCAGGGCTGAGCTGAGAATACTGCCTAGGCTTCTATATATCCCCAGTGGTTGGTTGGTTGTTTGTTTTTCTGTTTGTTTACTTGGTTTTGGTTTTTCAAGACGGGGTTTTTCTGTGTAACCCCAGAATTCACTCTGTAGACCAATCTGGCCTTGAACTCACAGACTCCCAAGTGCTGGGATATAAGGTGTGTGCCACCACGGCCTACTCTATGTCCCCAGTTTTAAAGTTAAAATTGAAAACAGAAGTGGTGTGTGAGTCATGCTTGTGAGCCTAGAACTAGGTTTAAAATGAACCCGTTACTTTGTGCCCTCCGTCAGGTAAGGTGTGCTGTTGTGCCGAGGTTACGAGCTGTCTCTGAGTCTGCATCACCATCCGTGTCAGCTCCTCCAACTGTGATGCCTTGTTTCCTTTACACAGACATAGTCCTTGTGATGAGCTTTTCTCAAGACATAGAAGCAGAAGGATTGTGAGTTTTACGGTAGCTTAGGCTATATAGTGAGACCTTGTCCCCCCAAAATTAAAAATTTGATATTAAAGCCAGCATATAGACTTAACCCATCTCATTCAGTTGCTCTTTTACCTAAAACTATGGTAGCTGAGGTCATGGGGGCTCATGCCCAGAGTTGCAGGGACTCAGGAAGCAGAGGCAGGAGAGCCGCTTGAGCCTGGGCAGTGCGGCCAGACCACATCTTAAAAATGAAAACAGGGTGGCTGGAGAGATGGCTCAGTGGTTAAGAGCACTGTCGGTTCTTCCAAAGGACCCAGGTTCAATTCCCAGCTCACAACTGTCTGTACCTCCAGTTCCAGGTGATCCGACACCCTCACACCAATGCACATAAAATAAAGTTAAATAAATTATATAGTTTAAAAAAAATTTCCATTAAAAAAAAATGAAAACAGGGACCCTGAGAATTGTGCAGTGACGTCATTGTGTTTCCCAGATATCCCAATGTCTGTGGGTATAACTGACCCCAGGGCCAACCCTACCCAGCTGAACACAGTGGAGTTCCTGTGGGACCCCGCCAAGAGGACATCTGTGTTTATTCAGGTAAGGCGTTGCACATGCCATCACAGCCAGAAGCGCGCGCCAGCTTCCAGGGTGATCTGTAAAGAGTCCTGGGCTGCAGATGGAGCTCGAGTGGTCGAGTGCAGAAGGCCCTGGGTCTGAGCCCACAAACCTTCTGTGCGGTGCACGCCTAACCTTAGCACGTGGGGAGGAGAGGGCGACAGTCACAGCTACACAGTGAGTTCAAGGCAGTTCGAGTCATGTGAGGAACAGAGCAGTGAAAAAGAGTAAGCTGTAGTGAGCTTAAGATGGTTTTCTGCAGGTGGACATAGTGGTGTGTGCCTTTATTCCAGCACTGACAGATCTCTGTGAGTTCAAGGCCAGCCTTGTACACATACCAAACTCTCTCCAGGACAGCCAGGGCTACAGGGAGAGCCTCATCTCAAAACAAAAGAATCATGCATGTGTGCGCACTGTGTATGTTTGTGTGTGTGTGCGCGCGCACGCATACACAAGTGTGAACACCAAGCACACTTTAATTTTTATATTTTGTTTTTTGAGACAGGGTTTCTCTGTGTTCTCTGTGTATCCTTGGCTGACTTAGACTTACTTTGTGGACCAGGCTGGCCTCGAACTCATAGTGCTTCCCTTGCCTCCACCTCCCAGGGTGCTGGGGTCACAGGTGTGCGCCACCACACCAGCATATACATAAAGTTTGATTTGCATATGTGATTATGTCCTTTGGGTAAACTCCTCAGAATTCTTTATTTGTAATAAATTTTTCCTGAGACAGGGTGTTTCTGTATAGCTCTGGCTGTCCTAGAACTCACTCTGTAGACCAGGCTGGCCTCAAATCTAGAGCTCTGCCTGCCTCTGCCTCCCGAGCGCTGGGGTTAAGGTGTGCACCACCGCTGCTCATCTTATTTGTAAGAATTTCGACCACTAGTGCATTAAATACTCACCTTTGAAGCTCTCATTGTTAATACGTTGTATTAATGATCCAAGACTGTGAATAATAGGCCTATGGAATAGGAATAGTTTTGAGGTACTTATTTTTAGATCATTTGTGTGTGTGTCAGAGTGTGGGTTTGTGCGTGAGTACAGGTGTCCACAGAGCCATAGGCAACCAATGCTGGTGGTTGGGAGCCGCCGGGTGCGGATCCTCTGAAGGAACAGTGTGTGCTCCAAACCGCTGAGCACTCCCAGCTGCCCTCTCCCAGCAAGAGTGTTGGAGGCTTCGAGGGACGGAGTAATTACTTCAAACTAGTCAGTGGTCCACTAGGCAGGGCTGCACCTGCCAGCGCGCACGGCAGTGCTCACAGGCGAGTCTTCCCTCATGACGCCTGCGCTTCGTGTTTACTGTGTTCTCAGCCTGTGTGCCGCCTTTGAAGTCTAGGTGAAAGCTCCCTGACGCTGTCTCTGTTGCTGCCTGTTCTCAGGGTTTAGCACATTTACTTCTTCCCTGTAGCCTTTTTTGTTTTTTTGAGGCAGGGTCTTCATAGCATTCACTTGCTTACATTTGTGAAGTGCTAGTATGTTCCTAATTTCCTCCACTAGTATGTAAGAGCTGAAAACAATGTAATAGATGTTGATAAATGCCTATTAAAGATTTTTGCCTCAAGTCGTTGCCCTGAAACACCGCTGGCTGGTTTGGCTGGTGGCGCAGAGCCTTGGTGTCGCTTCCTTCCAGGTACACTGCATCAGCACGGAGTTCACGATGAGGAAGCACGGCGGAGAGAAAGGGGTGCCATTCCGAGTACAAATTGATACCTTCAAGGAGAATGAGAACGGGGAGTACACAGAGCACCTGCACTCGGCCAGCTGCCAGATCAAAGTCTTTAAGGTACCCTGGGCCACCTGCCAGCCCTGGCTGTCCTGTTACCTCTGTAGACCAGGCTGGCCTCGAACTCAAGATCCACCCGCCTCTGCTGAGACTACCCTGTGAGCCACTGCGCTCAGCTAAAACCTCTTTCCTTATTATTCTGTTTTTAACCTGAGGTGCTAGGTAGTGAGTCAGCTTGTTTGTGTTTAAAACTACAAACTGTCTGAGCTAGAGCTACTGAGACAACCTCTGAAATACCTCTTAATGTGTTAGGGTCCAAACATCCAAAATAACCCAAGCAGCCACAAGAGTCCAGCAAAGCATGATGTTTATTTGAATATGGCAGCAAAAGTTGACCAGTCAGGGACAGCAGCACAGACTCCAGAGCTGATTGCATCTTCAGACATTCATGTTAGTGAGTATTTAGGCTGACAACAAGAATTCATTGAACTCAGGCTGCTAGTGATAGATCAGGGCCGCAGAACAGATCGGGAGCTGAACTGTGACCCCAGCCAGAACGGTACAGAGATCAGAAGCCTGAAATCCACAAACATCTGTGCCAAATAACAGTTGGTGTTTTCCCACCGATCAGGATTTAGGGAGGGGACTTCCTAGGACCTTGTCTCTGTGGCACACTTGGCCTGTTCCCATTGGTTGGGTTATTCAACTGTTGTGGGCCAACTTGCCTGCCAAGATGTCAGTCACCCAGGGCGGTCTTGGGAACTATAACCTTATTTGACCCCTATTCAAAATGGCTTCAGTTTGGTTCCTTCTTACAAATGTAGTTTACGTAGTTTGGTGTGTGGTAACAAGAACTTGTGAAGTGAGTGACAGGAAAAACTGAGTTCTCATGAAAGCTTATTGAACTTGTAAGCACTTCTGTGTCTCAGAAATCATGCAGAGTTGACTGATTTGGATACATTAATAGTTTGTGTTCCTGTTTATTATTTTTGCTGTTTTGAGACAGTCTTGAGGCAGCTGTTTTGAGATAGCCTCAAGTGGTCTCAGATTTGCTAAACAGTGGCCTTGAACTCTTGATACTTCTGCCTCCAAGTCCTGGTCCTTATGGGCATGTGTCACCACTTCCTCACTCTCTGCTTTGTCTTTGTTTTTGTCACATGGAGAAAAAAGTGAGGCTCAGTGTGGTGGCTCATGCTTATAACCTTAGCACTGGAGAGGCCGAGGCAAGATTACTGCAAGATGGATACCGAGCTGGACTGCATATCAAGTTCAGGTGAACTGGGATACAGAACAAGTTTTTGTCTCAGACCAGAAGGAGGCAGGGAGTCAGCCACCTAAAAGTGGGACACTACACTGTGGTCTGCCTTTTAACTCTTGACCCTGCTTTCCTGACCTCTCTCCAGAGGTCACCACTGTCACATGTGTTACACAGGCTCTGGTCCCATCTGTTCTCTGGCGAATGTGCTTGCGTGTGTATATGCACTTTCCTTTCTTTGAAACACGAGTGGGAGCACACTGCCTGGGTCCTCTGAGGCTGGATTTCCCTCGGTTGCTGTGCGCCTTAGAGGCCTTCCCTCTGTTCATCTTCCCAGTGCCTCAGACATTTAAATATATATTTTCAGACAGTGAGGGTACACATAGTCTCTACATTACTGTACACACGTTTGTTTTACATGTGAATATTTAAATATGTCTGGATCAAAGTGTAAGTACGTGGTTTTTGGAGGTTTTCTTGTTATTTTTGGTTTTCTTTTTTAGATAGGGTTTCTCTGTATAGCTCCACTTGTCCTGAATCTCACTCTGTAGACCAGGCTAGCTTCGAGCTCACAGAAATCCACCTGCCTCTGCCTCTGCCTCTGCCGCCCCAGTGCTGGGGTTAGAGGCGTGCACTACCACTGCCCAAGTACTTGAATTTAAAGCAACCTATTTCTCATTGCAGCCTAAAGGTGCAGACAGAAAACAGAAAATAGATAGAGAGAAAATGGAGAAACGGACACCCCATGAAAAAGAGAAGTACCAACCTTCCTATGAGACAACCATACTCACAGAGGTAAAAGGATTTTTCGGTTGATAATTTGTGCTGTCATTCATTCATTCTGTGGTGTTTGGCACTGACCGAGGGCCTTGTCTATGTTAGCACTCAGCACTCTGTCGCTGAGCTCATCCCCATCTCCTAAATGTCAGTCACAAGAGAAAAACATATTTTGTGAAATATCTTGTGAAAAAGATATATGTCCTTTGCAGTCTGGCCTAGCCTTTGTTGTCAGCGTGTTTTCTTGACTGCTGAAGGTGTGGGAGTGAGGTGAGGGGTTCAGTGGGCACTGGCAGGGACGTGCCTTCTTGTGGCATGAGCTCTCCTTTGTTCTCAGTGTTCACCGTGGCCCGAGACCACCTACGTCAGCAATTCCCCATCACCTGGCTTCAGCAGCTCTCATAGCAGTTTCTCCCTTGGGGAAGGGTAAGTCTGGGAAGTGCAACTGGGTTATGTTTCTACTAAGTGTATTTTCTTTTATTACGTTTCCACCAGTAAGAGCTTTCCAAATTAATACTTCCATTTTGTCAGTCTTTGGCCAATTTTTGTACTGACTGGGGTTTGGACTCTCCTGAAAATAGATGGAGTCTTATTTAAGAACTTTCCCCCTCAGACAGTGCCAGGGAGCACCACCAGAGGGTGTGCCAGGGAGCACCATTATTTGGGCAGCAGCTTCTGTGGGGATTTTTAGTGATAACCCTGATAGTTTCAGTTTCTTGATCCACTTGAGCTTGCTTACCTTGCCGTTCTTTCACCTCCTTTCCTGCTTGCACCGGAGGGTGGGGACTGGCGGTCGGAAGCAGAGCACAGCTACATTGACATTTACTTATTCTTTCTTGTAAAATCCTTGCGGAGGCCTGAGATGTGAGGCCGGGGTAGAGCCCTGGCCGGCGTGCAGTAATCTGCCTAAGAACTCCCCCGCCTCAGCCTCTTAGTGGCTTCAGGCCCACACTGCTGTACCTGCCCAAGAGGAGCTCTTGAAAGGCAGGGTTTCTCATGATCTTTAAAGATGACGTTGTCTACTCGGAGGCAATTGAAATACCTGCATGTTAAAGGTTGTGTTTTACTTTTTTTCCCCCTCAACTTTTTCTTTCATAAAGGAAGTGGTGGTGGCACACGCCTTTAATCCCAGCAGGCAGGTCTCTGTGAGTTGGAGGCCAGCCTGGTCTACAAATCCAGGACAGCCAAGGCTATACACAAAACCAAAAACAAAAAGAGAAAGAAAAGAAAGTAGTTGGGTGCGGTGGTGCACGCCTTTAATCCCAGAACTGGGAGGCAGAGGCAGAAGGGTCTCTTTTTAGTTCAAGGCCAGCCAGGGCTCTGTTAGTCAGAGAAACCCTGTCTCCAAAACCAAACAAAAGAATCTGTAAGAAGAACCAAAAATGTGGAGATAATTGTTGAATCACAAATCAGCACTCATTTTGAATCAACTCTAACAGTCGTGGTTGGGGAGCTCGGTGGCTTGGTAGGTAAGAGTGCTTGTTTTCAGTCACAAGAACGAGGGTTAGGAGACCAAGATGTGAAATAAGGCAGGCACCTCACAGACTCCTGTAGCTCAAGCGCCAAGGAATTCGATGCTCTCTTTTGGCCTCCACATTTAGGTATACGCACTGACACGTCGCTTCAAAGATTCTCTCTCGGCCTCTCTTTCTCTTTCTCTCTCTGATAGATAAATAAACTAATTCTGAGGTGAGCTGGGCTGGTCAGATGGCAGGGAGGCTAAAGTTCTTGCCTCTCACAGCAAGTTTGGATCCCAGAGCCCATGTAAGTAAGGGCACAGCAGTTTAGAGTACCGGCTGTTCTTCTGAAAGGACCCAGTTCAAACCCAGCTCCCACAGGCAGCTCACAAGTTTTCAGACCTAGGGTAGCGGTAGTATAGGGTTGCTAGCACCTTCACGGAAAGAACTGGGTTAAGGGTTTTGTTGTTTGTCTTCGGTTGTTTGAGACGGTCTTAATTATGAAGTCCTGGCAGTCCTGGAACTGGCTGCGTAGACCAGGCTGGCCTTGCTGCCTCCCAAGTGCTGGGAGTAAGGGCATGCACTATGATGCCCAGCCCAGGATATGATCATAGCAGACATCTTTTTCTGATTCTTCGTGTATATGTCTGCATGGCTTGTGATATGGTTAAAATTAGAGTAATGCATAGTTGTAGCACTACAGTACTAGGACTTTTATATTCCCAGCATTTTTTCTTTTGGAACGTAGCACTTCATGCGTCCAGCCGTGCTTTGTTCTAGACTGCGCTCCTAGCCCCTTGCAGAAATTTATTAGGCCATTCCCTAATCTCTCCGTTTCTGTTGACTGACGCTTTGACACTTCTTCCAGTTTCCTCAGTCAGAAAGAAGTTTCAGTTACGTGGTTTCTTCCCTTCCTCTGAAGTCTCTGAGTTATTTAGCACACAGCTTAAGTATTTGGTCAAAAAAGAACGTTCTCAGACAGACTAGGGAGTCTTAGCTCTCTGATTTAAAGAGCCACCGTGATGGTGAGTCATGAGGCAGTGCAGACTCACCGTAGACTCACCCTTTCGTCTTCCATGTCTCTCCTCAGAAACGGTTCTCCCAAGCACCAGCCGGAGCCGCCCCCTCCAGTCACAGATGTAAGTGTAAAGCCAGTGCGGTTGCTTGTGCTGTGTGTGCTGTGTGTGCTGAGTGTCTCAGATGCCAGTGCACTGTTAGGCGTTCCCGGCTTGACAGGTGCTTCAGCTCGGAACTGGAAACTCTACCAGGCCCTGGAAACAAGGTAGATTCAAGCAGAACCCTGTAAGCTGGCTGTGTTTGCTTGTTTTAGGCAGTTTCACCGCGCGTGACGTGTGTCTTTGAACTGAGCTCACTGTGCGGCTGGCTCATCCCCAGCCTCCGCAGGGTGGGTTTCAGGTGCATGCCACTTCACCTGGCTGCTCGCTCTTCTGCTTTTGTGGCTTCTACTGTGTGGCCCAGGCTGATCTGGTGTGAATAGCAGGCCCGCTCATGTGATTTCTCCTGTAGCTGCCGCCACCTGATGCCTTGACTATAAAGCGCTTTCTGATCCTCAAGAAGACCCCCTGTGACACAGACAACTGGCAGATACTATCCAGTGTGGTGTAGGGTCCAGAAGTGTGTGGTTGTGTTAGCTCTGAGGTAGAGGAATCTCTTCAGGTGGCAAAGAATGCACTCTTCTTTCAGAACCTCCTGCCAACGACCACGCCTCAGGAGGCCCAGCAGTGGCTGCATCGAAACCGCTTTTCCACATTCACGAGGCTTTTCACCAACTTCTCAGGTTAGATTTGGTTTTTTCTTTGCATTCTCCAATGTAGGGTGTTGGTGTGTATTTTAGGTCCTCATGTGTCCCATATGGGAGATGTTGGGGAGAGTCAGTCTGTCTTCTTCTGATAAAATGAATTTCATGAAACACTTCAGACTTCTCAACCAGCTGTAATTGTACTATGAGTTCTTAAATGAAGCAGTTTTAAATGTTTTTCTTTAGGTTCAGTTATTTTATTTGATGTATATGAGTATTTACCCCTATGGATGTCTATATATCACAGTTTTGGAAATGGTTGTGAGCCACCGAGTGGATCCTGGGGATTGAACCCAGGTCCTCTGCAGGAACAAGACATGCTCTTAATGGCTGAGCCAGCTCTCCAGCCCCAAAGAAGCAGCTTTTAGTCTGAACTCATTTAAACTTGAAAATGTCTGTTCTGTGTAGCACTTCTAGTCATCCATGTGCTGCTTTATCAAGGATGTTCACAAACAGGCTGAAACGTCCTGGGAACCATTGTACCTGCTACTCAGGTGCTCTGTGCTTGTGCAGCCTGCTGCACACACGTGTGTGGGGACACACAGTTGGTTTGTAAGAGGCCCTGATTGGAGTGTTCTCTTGGCCTCTGGGTGAAAGAAGGATCGAACTAGGAGTGTACTACGTCAGAAGTGTGTGAGGTGAGCTGGGGAGGGTCGCCGTGAGCCCATGAGACAGGAAAGGCTGGTGGCCTGCAGTACCATCAGCCTGATGAGAGCGTCGGGCGCAGTCAGGAGGTGAGAAGGGAGACAGAAGCTGAGGCAGAGGCCGCAGAGCTGTGTCTGCGCGAATGACTGCAGCACGCTGCTCATGCTGTCCTTGCAGTTGGGCCCATTTAGAGCTCACTCAGGAAAAGAGTTTTTGCTTTTATCATACCAACCTGTTTTCTTTTCTTTTCTTTTTTTTTTTTTTTGTTTTTTGTTTTTTGTTTTTCTATTTATTCCAGGGGCAGATTTATTGAAACTAACTAGAGATGATGTGATTCAAATCTGCGGCCCTGCAGATGGAATCAGACTTTTTAATGCGTTAAAAGGCCGGTATGTACCTACTGTTAGATACCAGTGAGAGTGGGTTTCAAATGAATTTTCATTCAGGAATTTTTCACAGTACTCTACACAAATAAATATGTCTTGTCAAAATATTTAAAAAAATTCTAATCACAGGCCAGTGAGGTTAGTGACAGAAGGTGGCTACTCTCTCGCAACCCTACACATGCGCACTGATTCGTGCCACCCCCCCC